GAATTAATTTACTCAAATCTCCATAATCAATCATACTCTTAGAAATAAGTAGTGATTTAAGATTGTCATGGACTATTAGTAGATTGTCCATAGTTATTGGATGTAACATAGAGATTGTGGCTTATATTTATGAGTACTTAATGGAGATTTAAGTATTAGAACAATCCACACTTAGAGATTAATTTATGGATCAATTCATAAGTAATTATAAGATGATAATATCTCGTATTCTTCAAAATAAGATAAGTGAGGTGTTTTGCTTTACAAGTTTGTTATACATTGGTTTACTCCAACACTATTCGTAAATGGTAGTAATATAGAGTATGCCCATGTATGATATGATGAGTAGATAGTAACTATGTAGTCGAATTTTATTTATTCCTTCTGCCCTAATAGAAGAAGCGATATATATGGGCTGTCAATGATTTGGAGTTGTCATCCAAAAGTGCTTGACCAAGCTTTGACTAAATTGATATGATTAATTTAGTAGTTTGATGTGGTCGTTACAAATCATTATCAGGAAATATAATCTTGAACACTGAGATTGACCCTTATCTTTGTCTCAGGTTCATACAAATATCTTGAAGAACAAATGAATAATTGATCAATTATCTAAGGGTTGAATCTTGATTTGATTAAAGTTTAGCAGTTGCATTGGATGGCTAACACTTTGTGGATTATTTGAGAAGTATTAGACCTCGTATAGTTGATGATTTTTCGAAGTGAGAGACTATTGGAAAGAGTGACCAATATCATTTACTATTGGTAATATTTCTAATAATAACATGGTCTTTTTTGGTTGTGCTCATGACACATTTGAGGAATTAAAAGGAAAAGGAATTTAGGAGAAAATTAGTTTATTAATTTGTCATGACTTGCTAAATTAGTTAGAAACTATTTTTAAGCTAATTGAGAATTAATTAATTCAAGGGGTTGAATATTAATCAATTAAAAGTTATTTATTTGTAATATTCCAAAAACCCTAAGGGATAAGGAAGAAGACGAAATATAGGATTATACCACATGGGGTTGGAGTGCTTTGGAACTAAGTAACTATAGCCAATAAATAGGGTGCTAAGGATCAAGCCTTTTTTATTTATTGGATTACATTTTTCAGTCATTCTCTCTATTATCTCTTAAGTAAGAAATTCTTAACCCTCATTAGAGTTTGTAGAATTCGATATTATCTCATGTTTTCATTTGATTCACTCTTTTGTGTCTTGAGTGTGAACTATTAGAGGGATTCTATTTTGGATCATCTCATCCAAGCAAGGTTGTAAGGACAAGATCGCAAGCTAGAAAGTCTCTAGTTACAAAAGAGGTATGCTATTCTATTTATCTAGTGGTTGTTAGTAATAGATTGAAACCTAGATCATTAAAGGTTGGATGAGCACTTATGGATTGTTTAAGTCTTCCACTGTTATAGTCATGTGTTTAAGAATGACCTATAACTCGACATGATATACATAGAGCTTAATTAGTTTTGTGAAAAAAGTTTGAAATGTAAAGTTTAAACAATCAAGTGAATGATTGTATTGAATATGAAATGGAATTAAATTCTTAATGGATCAAGTTATGTTGATATGAGCTTTATGTAATAATAAGATAGGAGTTGAAGGCATAATAGTCAAGGAACACCAAGAAAATGATAAAAATTATAGTTAGACCTTACTAACTAGTTAAGGTGAGTATATATGAATTTAAATAAATACATAACAAAACAAATGTTTTATGTGAATATATATAATGTCAAGTATCTTAATACTTGAATACTATGTTTTTTATGTGAATGGTTTGAACGTCATAACTAGTAGTTTAATATAAAAGCTTTAGCATGCCAAATGTTTATCGTTTTCAAAGTTTAATGTTCTTATATTCTGATTAATAAATGGGAAAGTTCTGAATATATCCCCATAACGGAATGAATGAGACACTATTGAGATGGTACCTACCATCGTGAAATAGTTATCGAGGTGTATGAACTCCCCAAATGACCACAATGGGATTAGCTCTCCCATGGTTAGTAAAGACCTGCTTGTGAACTAGAAAGGGGTATAAACTCCCATATGTAAGGATAATCTGTAAGCTCGTGATATTGTATGTTTTATGAAATGTTTTAAAGTATGTTTCACACTTATTTTGTTCTGACTAAACTCATATATCTTAAAAGTTCGTTGACTTACATATATTGTTTTGTTCAAATGCTATGTACTCCAGATCGGGGGCTAAGGACTACAAGTTCACATGTCGGTGGATATATTTTAGAAGACTTAGAATAGTCTCATATATGTATTATCTTTTTCATTAAAGTATGGTTATTTATATCTTTTGTAACACAAACATTTATGAACTCTAATAACTTTTGGAAAAGTTTTTGTTAAACTGTAGTTCAACTATGATCTAATGTCATGGTAATCATAAAATAATAGTTTGTTTTTTTTTATTTTTTTTTATTTTTTATTTTTTTTTTTATTTTAAAGAATGTGTGTTACATTTTTTTTATGAGATTTAAGCGGATTAGGTTTGATTACCTTCTTAGGCTTAAACTATGAAAGTTTAGATGCATATACCCTTAAGGATGTTAGGATGATGCTAAAACTTGTATGACTAGATTGTTATGCAAATATATGTTTAGGAAAGTATTAGGAAGATAATATGTTATCAATTTAAGTAAACACTTTCTTTCATAAGTTGAATTATGTATACTAAATCGATCGTATTAACGACAAGGATAATTATGAAATCAGTGAAAATCAAGCACCGAACTCTCCAAGCTATACGAGATCTTGGACAACATAATGGATAAGGTGAAGGACGATTTAAACTATATTCTTGATACTCTTTTGTAAGAAAGTCAACAAACTTCTTCTTGTCACCCTTTGAAAAGTAAACCATTCCGAAATGATAATTATACCTTAACAATTCAATATTTCAACAAGTAAGCCATGCAAGAACTCAAAAAAACAACTAACGGAAACAAGTCATTAAGTAGTCAATAACTAATTTCAAGTAAAACGACTACTAATTTCACCAAAATAATAAGTAATTTCATAAAGAAAAAAAACAACTAATTTCATAAACTTAAAAGATCCATACTTGTTTCATTCTAGGGTTTGGAGAGAGCACAATTTTAACTTGAAGAGAGCTCTCAAATTTGTTTTTCCTTGGAAGAATGAGGGTCGATAACTTCACAGAGGGCTTGCAGCGGTGGTGGTGTTTTTTTTTTTTTTTTTTTCTTTCTCTACTTCTTTCCCTCTTTGAGCTCTTGCTTCCGGTTTTCATTTTGTTGCTTGGATCACACCAACACAAACACAAACACATTTGGTCTTTCTACATTGGGTTATTACTTAGGGGATGATTTGTAGACAATAATTGGTGTTTAACAATTTATTTTGTACAACTCAATAATACAAAAATTATTGTATATGATAAAAAATTATTGTGTACGAATCACTTTCCTATTATTTATTATATAAACATTGAGCTATTTTTGTTAATGTTTGAGCTACTATTTGTTGCACCATATTTGTTTATTTTTGGACCTATAATTACGCATAATTTTTTTGTATTGCGCACTAATACTTAAAACATGTAAATATTTTTACACTTCCAGAACGAAGTCGAGGACACTATGAGTCCGCCCCTGAATATAATTACCATTTTATTAACTCGTTCATCTCATTATTTGATGTATTCGATTCATTTTCCATTTATTCCATAATATCAAACATGTCATAATACATTAATGCAAAGTGTATAATTAGAGAGCCAACCAAAGATTTTCATTTTTAAACATTTTCAACTTATAATTAAAACATTACATTCAATATTGATAAACTAGTTAGGGCTGACAATTCTCGACACGACACGCGATACGATCCGCAACACGACACGAAATAAATGGGTTTGGGTTGAGTTTTTCAACCCGCTAACCCGTCAACCCACCAACCTGTTTATTAAACGGGTTATATATGAGTTTCTCAAAAAATAAACGGGTTGACCCGCCAACCCGTTTATATTCTTAATAAAAAAATTATTTTATTTTTAAATGTATTTATGTATCAAGTATGAATATTTAATAAGTATTATATAATATATAGACAATTTGACTGTTTTGACATTTTGAGTCGTGGTGAATGGTCTAAGGTCGTAAGTCGTAACCTATAAGGCTAAGTTTGTAACATGTTTCTATGAATGTTTATCATTTTCATTTGAATGTTTAAGACTTAAATGTCTAAAATTCGGATCCACGAACCCAAATTTGACCCACAAACCAACCAACCTATGAACCCGTATAAATAAATGGGTTGGCGGGTCATATATGTGTTTATGTTCCAAACCCGCCAACATGTGACCCGCCATCCCGTGACCTGTATATTTAAATGGGTCGTGTTTGGGTTGACATATTTTGACCCGCCAACCCGTCAACCCGCGACACGCCAACCCGAACACGACACGATTGCCAGACCTAAAACTAGTCATGGAGTTAAAATTATTATATAAAATGAATTATATACCTTTTACGTAAGAAAACTTATGCCATTAAGATGGATACAAGCAAACAACTTTTGACTTTAAAAACATGTCGGAGAAACACAAAAACGTTTGTTCCCTAAACCTAAAACCTGAAGGAAAGAAGAAAGAAAACATGAATAAAAAGTATATTGTATTCATGTAATCCCTGTTTTTGTTATACTTTATTTGTTTAAAAAATTTACCGAATATCGCGTAAATAAAATTCACCACAATAACCACCTACACGTTTACACTTTACACAATTCATCTATGCTCTCTCTATTTCGTAGATGACCACTCCAAGGTTATAACAAGGAATCTCATATATAATTGATTGTGTCGAATTATTGTAAAATGTTATTTTCAACAAAGAACGACAAAACTTTCACCTTAATGCGTGGACTTTTTCAAAGTCTTCATAACTAAAAAAACAAGAAGAAGACCTTGTTATGTACGAAATTATTATTGTTTTCAAGGAGATTCATCTATGGGTAATTAGCTAAACTCATCATATTTACAAACATTACACAAGCATGGTACACCAAAAATGTTATTGCAGCATATCTCCATGGTACTGAAATTTTCATGTTAATCACTTTCAAATTTTTGATAAAATCCACCCTTTTTTGTCGAATTCTCGATCTCCTTGGACAGTTCTTGATCATATCGATATATGTCTGCATGTCGTGAACACATAGAATGTCATCGATCTTGAAGAAATCCATCACATTCATTCCCCTTTTCACAATCTTATCTATCATGTAATCAGGTATTTCAAGGTTCTCCTCTTCGTCTGTCTTTAAACAGTCAAGTACCAATTCAATACCAACATGAGCATAACAAGCACATGTCCATGGGCTAAATGTCTCATTGAATATAACTCCTGGGAGTTTTGTTATAGGATCTTTTGCATTAACGATTCTAAGAACTTTCACCCCCAACTCCTCACACCGTTCCTTAAAATGAACATTCCCAACCCTCGGTCCCGCAAATGAAAAAACTGTAAGTGGGACCGTGGGTTGTTTTAGTCTTAGTTCTGCAATGTCGTATGCGAGTAGCAGGGCTAACGAGCTCCCCATGCTATGACCAGCTAACGTTATGCTCATATCTTCGTGTTTATACATTCTTAAAAGGCGAGAAATTTCACAAATAAGTTGCTCACGACAACTTCCGAGACCAAATCTAGCATTGGTCTCAGAAGAAGTGTACAAGCTGAGGAACCCAGCCTCGACCATGATATGAGGTTTTGGATCATTAGGATCTAACCTAGCTGGAGATAGCGAGCTCATTAAGTTCGCTATCCATTCAGGATAAGTAGCCGTGCCACGGAAAATTACCAAAATATCCCTCCTCCCAATCCTCTTTACCTCTTCATCCGACGAAACCGCAATGTACCCGACCCACCGCGCGCATGAACCACCATTCTGGATTGGAATGCTGATGTCAGGGGTGGCGTAAACGTACTTTGTAACCTCATAACCACAGTCGGCCCACCCTAACTCCAAGAACATTCGGTTCTTGGCGTACTTGCAGGTCAAGTAGCGACTGGAATCAGGGTTCAGATCAAAAGCGTCATAGGAAGCAGTAACGAACTTTCCATAACGAATGATTTCAAGTTGGAGAAGAGGATTCAAGGGTTGGATGAGATTTTCCCAGTTGTTTAAACCTTGAACATCTCTCCAGTTAAGAGGTAAACTAGGAGACATGGTAGAAACCCTAGCATGTGAAAGTGAGGAGGGTAAAGACGTAACAGAAACAGTACTGCTACATATCTTCTTTCTGAAATCAGGTCTGCAAGAATATGGTTTTTTGGTGGTGATGATCTTGGTATAATCAACTGGGAAGTAAACAAGATTCCTGCATGGAGTGTTCTTTACAACAAACACTGACTTAGCCATTCGAGAGCTTTCAGGAATTTGATTACAAAGAAAGGCTAAGAGATTTGTCAAGATTAAATCATGTTTAGAAGGGTTTTGACAAAGAGAGATTAAGCAAAGCTCTGCAATGGACTATATATATATATATATATATATATATATATATATATATATATATATATATATATATATATATATATTACAGTTTTACCTGTTCTCGGAAAGAAGTGAATTGGGAATAAGCAAAATCGCATGAATGGCGAGGAAGGTGACCGGAATTATATAAACAGGAAATCGGGATATTTGTTTATATGTTGGACACGTGTCATGACTTTTAGTGGTCGGTGGGGTTGAAAATAAAAAAGTAAACAAAAAATAATATATTTTGTATTGCGGCTGAGAGTGGAAAACGAGATTAGGAAGCATAATAATTATAAACAAAACAAGGTTACATACCTTCTTTCTATGTACTTATGTTTTTTTTATTTGGTTTATATAACGTATTAAACTATGAGCAAAAATTCGTGACCCAAAGTTTTAGATTTATAGCCCAGCGGTATCAGGTGGTGTCCTCTTTCTTTCAGATCGAGAGTTAAAGTTCTGTCGTGGACATAGGTGAAATAGGTATCGTTAGTTTAAGAAGTAGATTAGATTTGTTAATTCAATATATATATATATATATATATATATATATATATATATATATATATATATATATATATATATATATATGTTATTATGTGAGAATAGCAAAAATATATGTTGTTTAGTCTAGCGTTATCAGGTGGTGCCCTCCATTTTTGAGATCGATGGTTCAAGTCTCATCGTGGAAATAAGTGAAACATGTATTGTTAACTTATGAGTAGATTAGTATTGCTAGGTTCAAATATGGATTGACATCTATTGTTTGGACGTATGGACAATGTTATTCTATTACAATAGCAAAAAAAAAATGTTCTTTGATAATATGAATACGTTCAATCCTACATAATTGTTTTCATTATCAAAGCTTATCACTAATTAAATCGTCTATAAGGTTTCTATAGATTTTTTATTATTATTCTCATTTCTTCAGAATGTTGTCAGAATGTTTATTGAGTTGTATTCTGTAAGAATGTAAATTAGTAAAAAACTATGTGTGAGAACAAAAACAAATAAGAATTAATGAGAATACATAAAAATTACGATAGTTGTTGGAGGTTGAACGTATTCACATTACTAATCAACATTCTTAGTCATTATCAAATAATATCACTGTCCACACGTTCATACAATAATTGTCCATCCACATTATAACCTAACTTTCTCTCTCTCTCTCTCTCTCTCTCTCTATCTATCTCACTCTCTCTCTCTCTCTCTCTCTTTATATATATATATATATATATATATATATATATATATATATATATATATATATATATATATAGGGAATGGTTATATGGAAAATAAAAAAAACCTAAAAATCATAAAAATGCATAAAAAAAATACCTAGACATCACAATTTTTTTTACGACTTTACACATCAAATAATCGCAACTTTTTTTATTTTATTTTATTTTATTTTATTTAAATTTCGCTGAAAAATAAAATAAAAAGTCAATTTTATTTTTTATAATTTTTTTTCGAAGGGTCCAGACAAAGGGTGATTTTTGATGAACTTGATCATGAGACGAACAACCTCATTGTAGGATGAGTGATCTTCGAATATGGCCTTGAAATTGCTTGATGCAATAGATGGAGATTGGCTTCGAGTAGCAGAGTCTGAACCAGCGGGTTGTGTGGAACTAGAAGCCTTGGCTTGCTTCTTTGAGATGCCTGATTTCACATACCATTTTGAGAAAAAAAATTGAAGACCTTGCAGAAAAGCTTTGAGTGCAAGAGGGTGAGGAAGATGAAGATCGCCAAAGAGAGTTCAGAAAGCGTAAAGCTTTCTTGGGGAGGGAAAAAAAGTTTATATATTAGCAGATCTCAAAAGTTTATTGTTGTAACCCTATATGAGGCAGTTAAAGATAAAAACCCTTGAGTTTTTATATTTAAAAATTAAGGACAACCACAAATAAGATTAAAGAAAAATAAATCTTTAATGTTTTAATTTTTCAAAAATGTAGCATTTAATGAAGTGTCAGACCCAATATCACACGTCTGAAGATCGTGTGGTGAGGGGAGAAAAATCGTTGAATAAATGTGGAATTTGTAACAGATTTGACATCTTGGGGCAAAGGGGATTAGAAAGTTAAGAAAAAAGATTTCTAAAAGATTTCTTTTATTGGGAAACTGTTTTATTTGGTATCAAACCCAAAATAGGTTTGAGAAAAGGATTATTTGAAAAAGAAGAATTGTAAAGGTGATGTGCTATACAACAAATGTTTTTAAAATAAATGAAGGATCATTAAATAGCATACAAAGCTCTTTGGAATTTATGAATTAGTTGAAGATTCATTCAATGCAACTGAGGATTGAACAACCATTGCAGATTGGATCATTATTGAGGATAGATTCGTCGTTGTGGTGGATGATTAGAAGACTGTAGTAGAAGGAACTGAGAGAAAGACTTGAACACAATCAGAAATAACAAACAATAAGGACCCTTGAAATATAGATTGATATATGGTTGCGGTACACAAGCTATACTGAAACTATGTATGATAGATATATTTAGCTAGGACCACAAAAGAGACTAGAAGTAGTCTGCGGTACCTATCAATTCAAAAAGAATCGCGAGTCTGGATTCATCATTCCTAACATTTGTAAGAAACTTTTGAGTTTTGTAGAGTCAAGTGCCTTTGTGAATACATCAGTAATCTCTTCATGAGTGTTAACAAAAATTAGTTCAACGTTACCTTTCAAGATGTGGTCTTTGATGAAGTGATATAGTAGTTCAATATCCTTTGTCTTAGAGTGATGAATAGGATTGTGGGAAATCGCTATAGCACTCTCAGAGTCACAGTAAATTGGTATACACAGCATCCTATATCCGTAGTCCATAAGTTGAGTCTTCATCCATAAGACTTGTGAACAACAGCTGGCTGCGGCCACATATTCAGCTTCTGCGGTAGACAATGAGACACAATTTTGTTTCCTTGATGACCAACTGATGAGTCTTCCACCAAGAAAGTGACAGCCACCGGAAGTGATTTTTCTGTCCAATCTGCATCCGACATGATCCACATCTGTGAATGCTTGAAGACTGAAGTCGTTCCCTGCAAGATACCAGAGACCTAGAGCTTTGCTTCCCTTAAAGTATCTGAGAATTTGCTTAACTGCGATCATATGTGATACTTTTGTATCTGCTTGGTATCTTGCGCATAAGCCTGTTGCGAAGACAATGTTGGTCTGCTTGCGGTGAGGTACATCAATGAGCCAATCATTCCTCTATAAGTTTTGTGGTCTACTGATTCTCCGGAAGAATCAGAAGAGATCTTATATCCGAAGACCATATGGACCTGAGTAGAGGAACAGTTGTCCATTTGGTATTTCTTCAGCAGTTCAGAGGTGTATTTCTCCTGATGGATGAATATCCCTTAAGGGACCTATTTCACTTGAAGTCCTAGAGAGAATTTAATCTCTCTGTTCATGCTTATTTTGAATTTGTTGGTCATGAGTTTTGCAAATTCATCCACCATCCCTTGATCAGTTGGTCCAAAGATGATATCATCCACATATATTTGTACAAACATAAGGTGATTACCGTTTGCTTTTCTAAATAAAGTGGGGGTCAATCACTCCTCTTTTGTAACCGGATGAGACAAGAAATTCTGAAAGGGTCTCATACCACGCTCTTGGTGCTTGCTTTAGACCATACACTGCTTTCTCAATCTTGTAACATTGATCTGGGAATTCATGACTTTCGAAGCCCGGAGGTTGTTGAAGATAAACCTCCTCTTTCAATTCACCATTAAGGAAGGAACTCTTTACATCCATTTGATGTACTTTGATGTTCTTGTGAGCAGCATACGCTAAGAAAATACGTATGGCCTCCATCCTGGCTACGGGGGCGTATGTTTCATCATAATCAACACCTTCAAGTTGACTATACCCCTTAGCGACTAGTCTCGCTTTGTTTCTGACGACCACACTGGATCTATCTAATTTATTCTTGTACAACCATCTTTTTCCAACAATATTGGCCACACTTTGTTTCTTTCAAATTCTGTCAGTTCCTCTTGCATTGCGGTTATCCACTCGGGATCCATTAAGGCTTCTTTGATGGTTGTGGGCTCGACAGAGGACATAAACATTGCATAGTGACAGTGATCAGTTAAATCTTTGGAAGAATGAGTTTGAATACCTGCAGATGAATTTTTGATGATTTAACCCGGTGGGTGGTCCTTCATCCATACATGAAGATGGGATTGCAGATGGTCAGCGGCTGACGTGGAGGGAATGTCTTCAATATCTAAAGACTCTGCGGCAGAAGAGGGTAGTTCCCCCTGGACTTGTGAGCAGCCCGCATAATTATCTTGAATCGGGGAAGTGGGATTAGCATTTACTTGAGCATTTGAGAGAATTTCCCCTTGGATTGCGGATTGGAGTTTCCCTTGAACCTGAGAAGGTTCCCCCTGGATTGTAGAGAGTGATTATCCTTGGACCGATTTCAGTGTCAATGTTCTCTATATCTTCAATGTATGAGTCTGAGGAGACATTTGATTGGAGATTAATACCACAGATAGGAACCGAAACTGCTTCCTCAAGAACTGGAACCTCGATGGTTTTCATCTGATCTGGAGTGGAGTTTTCCCCCTCAACCAGCAAGGAGGAAGTATTGAGTGACACATCATCGGATAGAGTAGGACCAGAGACTTCGGCATGTTGCTGTTAAGCTTCTGGAGACATGAGAACTTCAGATAGTTAAGCAGTCTCTACGGGGTCGAAAAGATCATCATTGTTCATTTAAACTATGTTTAGAGGACCCGAAGAGGCTGGGATATCACTTTCCAGAATGGCTATAGTTTCTTTTGATTGAGCAGTGTTGCGGACGTAATAGTCATCGAATTTGACGCCGAAGCTTTCGACTATTAGTC